GTGTGTTTTAGGGGAAAGTCTTACCCAGCTTTCTCATCCATGACCAGTACAACGTTGAGATTTTTCATTCTGGGGGACTTAAACCTCGTGACCTCGATGCTAGCAAAAATACTGAGAAGAGCAGAGTTTAGAGGAAATATAGTCACCATAAGCGCTAAATAAACGCTACGCTTTTGTGTAGCTGTTAGGAGCTAACGACACCACCCATTGTAGCCATATGCAGCTCTCGGGAATGTTTTTTTAAGATTAATTCTACTACCATTCACAACAAAAAAACCTAAAAGAAAACAGAAATGAACAAGACAGACGCTGTGAGAAAAACACACTAAGATAAAAATGCAAATAATTATTGAATCGAAGCTGTCACTGAAACATGACAGAAGGAGTCCTGCTCCTGTCAGCGTCTCCATGCAGGAACTAATCACTGGTAGAAATTCAGAGATGTGCACGTGGAGGCGGGCCAAAGTGCTTTAAATGTAATGTAAATGGATCCATAGGCTAAAGTCAATTTGACAAATAGCTGACTGTTGTTGTGCAGACAAAACCAAGAACAAGCTCAAATTCTTCATGAGCTGCTCTTCAGTGCGTGTTGGACTGAATCCCAGAATGCACCTGCAGGTTAATAAGCAGAGTGGTTTCACTGGAAGTTTGCCTCACCTTTCATTTAAATGCTTTGGAATTTAACGGAAAAAGTGAACGAGATACGCTGCAATATGACAAATGGGTTGTAAAGAGCAGCTCAAGCAACATGTCTGTACAGGAATGTTTATGTTCATGCATATAGGAGACGGTTTTATCCAAAGCAATTTACAAGGAAGACACAATATTACAGTTAACAATAAACTGACAATAAGATCTCAAAAGGAACATTCCTAGTGAGTGTCAGTCGTGACAGTGAAGAGAGTTAGGATAGGAGAAATTTTTCTTGGGCCTGTTAAGTTCAAATGTTTCAGCTCTCAGTGGAGTACAGCCTACCTCCTGGAATTGAATGGCTCTGTGATGGATCCGTTTAGCATTGCTGTTACATTACCACAGGCAGCATCTGCAAACTGCACATATATCAGGATGTTACAGGAAATGACACTTTACATTCACATGAATGCAGAGCTAAATACGTGTCAAAATGAATAAGCATCATGAGAACTTGTTTTATACAAATATTCCAATTTTAAGTTGAAACACAAGTTCATATTTTTGTCATGCAAGTGCTCACATCATATTGCAATTTAAAAAACTGAATTCCACAAGCTGGTGCATTTTGACATATAATTACTTTCATACAAGACCAGATATATCTCTGTTTTGCTGTCCATATGGTTCCATAATTTCAAAGGCAGAACAATTAGCAACAAAACAAGCTATCTGCCATCATGTGATGCATACTGATTGCACATCTGGAACCATTTACAAAACAAGCATACTGTTTCAGGGACTTTCTCCTGACTGCAAAGTACTGCACATGTCAAGATGAACCGGTTCAACTCCAAAGAGACTTAAGAAAAACTAAAAAACGACAACAATAAAGTGTGTTCTCAGTGTACTTGCAAGCATTCAAGCAGAACGCGGATGCAAAATTCGAATTACAATGTGAAGTGTGCACGATACACTTAGTTTTAAGCATCAGGGGCAAGTTGTTGGGTATTGGTAGGAAGCCCAGCTAAACCAAAGAAGGCCTCTGTGAGCGTGTGGGACGCTGCTCACTCAGGAGAGAGCTGTGCAATGTGGCTCCATGGAGACCGACACAAAGCTGCATTGATAAACCTTTTTCTTTCCTCCTCTCCATCATAACAAAGGGAGATTGGGTCCACACATGCTCCTCTAACTGATGCATCCCTGCACTGTGGTGTATCTTTTGAGGACAAACTGAGAAGTTTTTTTTCTTTTACTCACAGCAGCCGAGATGCGTTTCCAAAAGGAGCCAACGGGGTTGTCGGGGCATGTGTTCCAGTCTGGGCAGCCGGTGGTCAGTGTTTCTATAACAACAGCAAAACACATTAAAAGTCAGTAAACTGTTCGCCTAACAGAAACCTGGACACACAGGGTAGAAAACATTAAAGCACACAAAAAAGAGCTACCTAAAAAATGACCTTTTAATACATTAAAGTGTATCTGAAAAACCTTTTGGATGGTCATGAAGTTATTTTGCATCATAGCCCTTCAGGCTTCAAACAGCCACTCAAACACTTTCTGTCTTGACTGAAGAGTGAAACTGAATAAAAAACCGTCAAGAAGACTTGCATTTTGGCCAATCTCACCACTGCTGCCTTCCTTTCCACACCAGGTGAGCCCATCCAGGACAGATCCCAGCAGACTGTCCTCCACCGTGACGAAACAGTCTGTCTTCCCAGTGAAGTCGTGGACCACATCCTTTGTTTTGCTCCAGAACATCGCCTAACCCGTGAGTAAAGTTATCATATCATTAATCAGGTCACGCTTTCAAACTACACGCGTGTCAATAGAGCAAAAATGCCTTAGGTGTTATACAAATATTTACCCTGTTGCATGAAGGTTCAATGGGAGCTGAAGCAACGAGAGGGTCATAAGCCTCTGTGGGAACTTTACAGGGGTCCTGGTTCACGTAGGCCTTTTGAAAGACATCCCATACTTCTTCACAGTTGTAGCTGGAAAACACAAGATGGTATTCATCATTGACCATGGAAGCAACGCCAATTTGTAGCCAATTTGTAGCCAGAATTCATCCATCCCAGCAGGGTCGTGGCGGTAGGCTGGAGGCTGGAGCCTTTTCCAGGCTGGACACCCTGGACGGGTCACCACACAGTTATAAACAACCACACGCAACATGCTCATGTTCCCTCCAAGGGGCCATTTTGATATTCAGATTAACCCAACATGCATGTTTTTGGACGGTGGGAGGAAGCCGGAGAGAACCCATGCAGATACAGGGAGGTCATGCTCACACAGAAAGTTCACGGTACTGTGTGACTCATACCGAGAACCCTCTCGCCGTGTGGTTTCAGAGGAAATATTCAGCCTGAAGGCGCGTGTTGCATGCAGCTATGACAGTTGCAGACGCAGGCCTCGCCGGATATCTGAGACCCAGTTTCCTGAATGTTTTCACCTGTTCTACTAAGGAAACAGCGGAAGATCAAATTGCTTTTAAGTCTTGCAGTTTTTCTAATCTTTTTTAACAGGTTGATACAGTTTTAGCTTTTCCTTTTATACCCAATGCTGACACCCTGATCTGTAACCAATCCATCTTTGATAATATCATCCATCTGCTATAGCTGTATATTCTGTAAACCGCTCCTTCGTTGTCATCTCTTCCAACAATTTTGATTGTGTTGCACTTTCTAACGTTGTAGGAAGTCCGGGTCATGCCATCAGTAAATGTCAGCTCACTTACAAAGGAGCAGCAAAGGAACACATTTTATTTGAACCTAACTGGGCAATAAAGAGGTCATAAAAGTAGAATTTGTGGTTTTAAAGTTGTATTGCATTTTCTCTGGCTGAATTTGCACCTGTTATTGTGTTCCATAATATATTTAAATAATATATATATTAGTGTTTTTTAAATTCACTGGGAGGAAAACTTAACATTTCTTCACATGGTTGTGACACAAAGTCTCAGTTCAAAAGTAGAAAATAGAGAAATGTGTTGAGTGCAAAAAACAATGACAGAAATTGATTGAAAAAAAAATGGTCAAAATGACAACACTTACCCTTTGAACTTCTGGCATCTTTCCAGAAATGTATTTTTAAGTCCGTCTGATCCCTGAGCAAGGGTCACTCCCAACACAACAGCGCAGATCGCGATAATCACAACGACCACACTCACACAGAGGAGAAGCCTCTTTCGCCTCCTCTTCCCCGAACCACGAGTCCCTCCCTGCTCCATGTGAGCGTCCTGCCTGCCTCTGACCGGAGCTGTTGTCCGGTGTGACTATGACAGCTGAGGACCTGAAGCCAACGGCTGCGTATTTGGCTCTCGGACGTCTATTTATGGGGACGCGCAGGCAGAGCGCGCAGGGAGGACTGGTTGCGTCAAAACCCTAAAACTCTGCTCCAATCACAAAGTCTGACTGAAGAAAATTACTTCTAGGAGAGGGAGCTCTTCCAAAGAAAACGATTTTAACGGTGACAAAAAGTATGCCTAGGCATACAAAGCAGACTTTTAGCAGCGTCACAATCACGTGGCAGCTCATGCATGCAGACCTTTACGTTTCATTTTAATCTAATCATTTATCTAACTTGTGTTTTATTCTATACTAAACCTCTTAAGAGTTTAGTCTTCAAAACATAATGCAAAATAAACTGATCTAAAGTGGGTGACAGCAAAAGACATGCTCAGATATCATAATCAATGTCTTTACACTAAACAAAAAGCTGTTAATTGATTACTTATTTAATGATTAATTTACTCAACAACACTGATGTATTCAAGATGAGTCAATGTTAGCCTCACATTCCTTAAACAAGGGAACCTATGCACTTCCCACACTTAAAAAGGCATTTTCCCCTCCTTTTCTAAATCTAATTATTTGGACTCAATATGAAGAACTATCTGTTTGTGGAAAGCTGAAAGCTGAACCCATCTCAAAGATGTATATAATCTATCCAAAATTCAAATGTGCTGCCTGAGACAAAGTCAGTAGAAGCAACACCTGGAAAGACTGAACATTTTAAATTTCAGTTAATTAATTAGTAAATATCACAAATGATCTATTATCATTGCACAACAACAACTAAAACAGAAGTGAACCCCACAAATGACTTAATGGCATTCTTTTTTTAGATATTTTTTAGTTGTAATTTTCAATTTCTCATAATTCAGTGTTGTTTTCCAAACTCAGTGCAGAAGGTAAGAAAGAAATGAAGGAGGATCACAAAACAGCTTTAATATTTTGCAGTTCAAAAGCTGGTTAGATACGTGATACGTTTAAGAGGTAAACATAAAGAGAAGACTGTATGTACACCTGCACCATGAATTGAACATTCAGTTCATTCCCAAAAGCATCTGCCAGGTTATTCAGTGAATGAGGCATCCCAAAAAAAGAAAGGTGTTGACAGGTGTGGTTCCTGTGAATATTACCCTGGCTTATGAAAGACAGTTGTGAAGTGACATTTAAGAGGTGACAAGCAAGTGAAAGTTGAGATGTTCCACAAAACTTTGCGTGAGAGCACAGACATTAAGATTCCTGCTGCCTTCATGTGAACTTGTTTTGACAGTCGTTTTTAATCAGTTATGATTGAGAACACTGGAACTGTCACCAACAGTAGGGCAAAAGCAAAAGCAATAATTAAACCCCTGGCTTATACAGCCAGCCATACTGGCTTATATACCAGTTCAGACCTGCAAGAATCTTTTTTTGAATTTGGGACCTGTCAATAACAGAAAGGAGTAGTTTTTCATACATCAAACAGGTTAAAGGCAGTCAAATAAATATTTCTGTGCAGAAAAAACTTCCAATTTAATGGGATTAATCCTATAAATGATGTGTAGATATGACGGCTCTAATTGCTCTTGATTTTAAGAAATTCAGTCAAAAGAATAGAATAAAATAAACTTTCATTCTATTCGTTTAGGGTAAATTCATATTGTCACGGGAGCAACAATTACTACGGGATAGACATAAAAGGTAACAGTATTAGTGTTCCTGTAGATAAAAGCAATATAAAGCTATCAATAATAACTAAATTTGCACAAAGATGAAACATCAGTGTC